ATAATTTAAAACCTCATAAAGCAGTAACATTCAATTTCTAAGTAGTAAATTTATACAAAGAAGAAAGCAGTACTAACCTTTTATCTATCTTTCCATTCACTCGCACAAGAATTCTATCCAAAACTGCACAGCTCGCACACGACGAACTGTTTAAAATAATGAATTCAAATTTTAACTTTCACTATCAACAACTCAAACAAGCGATAACGAGTTTCCAACTTTCTCTTAACCCGGTTGGAAAGGAATTATATAATAACCTAAACTAACCAACGCAGCTTACTAAACACCATAAACCACAGACTAACAGCATGACTAAGTAAAGAAAACCCACGGTACCCAAACCGGGTTAACCCAGCTTAAAACTGTATAATTTATTCTTTTGAAGACTATTAACAAGTCTAAAAAAGAAACTATAAAACACCAAAAAGTCGCAAAACAAACCCAAACCAAAAATATTGATTTTTAAGAAAAGGACAAAACCAAAACAACAAAGGAAAAAACCAGTAACATTATAACATAAAACGTTAGCACAAAACAGGATCCCTCAAAAAACCAGCATCCAATCATACCCTCACTCCTGGCCTAACCCACCATAAGAGGACGTCCTGAGCATGCTCTATAGCCGGCCTAACTCACCGTGCTACATCCACGCTTTGTTACCACTCCGTATTTTTGACAAGAGGTACTCAAGGGTGAGTAACTCTTAAAAATAACAGAACTAAAATTCAGACGCTTTTGCGAAAAAAAATTAATAGAAATCATAACTAAAAACTAAATTAACAAAATTTCATAAATTGTAAGTCTTAGAAATGCAGTACATAGATCATACACGACCACACAGACAAGCATCAAGAAACTAGATGACCCCCTCACACTCAACCTACAGAACGGCTAAACACAACCGACATGCCGCTCACAATCACAACTCAAAGGATTTAGAGTACGACTTGACTTCGCAGAAAAGGACTTCATTGAACCAGACCAAAGACCACTTCGATGTTCAAGTATTCGGACAGATCCGAGTTACAAGGCATTCCCTCCAAACTCGATCTTCACGCCATTCCCAGACGAGAGTGAAACACAGTCAAATATCCGTCGAAGCCAAACAAACCATATTGAAATCAGATTGATTTCATTGGCGGTCACAGTCATCGCCGAACGATAACTAACAACTTCATGTCGACGATTATAGCTTCATGGAGCTTCCTTCTCAAAGAATGGAATAAGAAATGATGCTCGCCAAATACCAACAATCTTCATCGACCCTTCAATTACAGAAAGAAGATATACGATTTAAAAACTCTGTAAAGCCCGGATGGGTGGAACCAAATCTAAACTATATTTTATTATTGAATATTTTATCACTATAAAATATTTAATTCTAACCAATCATGATCCATCTAACTAACAACCCACTTATTTGTAAGTGCTGAAAATACTTGTAATTTCAGCACCAGAGAGATTTGAATTTAACTTAGAACTTAGTTGCCTCTCCAAGAGACCTACTAACAATAAACCAGTATACTCTAGATCTATTGAGACTAATTGAGAGTAGCAGATATAAGAGTAAGATTAAGATCGGTATTAGACTAAGAAGTTGCACGAATCTATTCGGCCGAAAATAAGATAGCGTGACGAACAGACGGTGTACCCTATCTGAAATTACTCTATGAGTTAAACCCTCGAACATAACTCAAATTGTTCATTTTCAAACGATGCAATGTGGTTTTTTTTGCAGTATTTCAGAAAAATCAATACCTCGGTGAAGTTTGTACTACGCAAAATAATTTAAATTTAACGAGTTAAGGCAAACAGTTTTTTTCTGAAAAAAGTTTGCACTCTCTTAGAGTTACAATAAATCACATTGAACTGTCAATTTAGAAAATCAATAATTAACCTTCCGCTAAACAAAAAATGTGATCGATACTAGACTTTACCCGTAATTAGTTTTATTCTCAGGAATCATCCCCTGACTCATTCATATACTGGCCTTTCTGTTGCAACAGAAATATTTTGAACTTATTAGCATATAAAATATCCGGCCTACGATTTCATAATACTTCTTTTTTTTTCAGTTTTTTTCGTCTTTTTGTGGCTTAATAGGTATCAGCTTATTTTAAATTGACTTAGTGCGTCTTACTGCGTCGTTTAATTACCAAAAAAAATTGCGCGTGTGTTTGTTCTGAGGGAAAGGAAGGATTAAAATGTTTAGCAAGCATTATTAAATTGGAATATAGAAGTTTTTTCGGGTTAAAAACTTGTTGGACAGAACCACTAAATTCACAAGTATCTTGCTTCAGAAAGATTTCAAACTTCTATGCGTTCCAAGTCACTATAGCCTAGAGCTAACGAATATGCTGTGTAGGACAATAGTCCCGCGTTCGAATCTGACCAGGGACTGTTTTGTTTTCCAAACGGGAAATATTCTGTTTCAAATAATATTGTCGGTCAGTTGTTTGTCTGCTTATCTGTTGTCGGCTTAATTGTCTAATCTTGGAATACTTTTTTTGCTGTGCGCATTTTGCCCTTTAGTTGATTTTACTGTTTGAATTACTTCTACAAAATGTAGTTTGAAATAAGTTTTTTGACTCCGTAATTGCTTTGAGTGTGCTAAAAGACGGGTCTACTAATAAAAACTATAACTAGGAGCATTTTTTGGATGTTTTATGAATCCGTCCTGAAAAGTCACTTTCAAATTGTTAGTTTGCTGAAATTTATTCCTTAAAATATTTTCAGTGTTTAGCAAGAATTATTTACCATTGAAATGTAAGCAAACAAGGATTAAACACCTCTTTATAAAAGCATTATTTGATAGATATAAATTTATTTCATTCAAAAGAAAGCTGAAATGACACGCTCTGCGAAAATTGAGCTGTGTTTGGTTAGAGTATAAAAAAGAATTATCAACAAAAATGCACGCTGTGAGAAAAGAGAAGCCAGAGGTGTGTTTTGACAGAATACCTTTCACAATACACACTATTTAATTTATTTGAGCATCAATTGAATGATTTAAATGTAATCTATTTGAGCAAGATTGGATCGGTTTAGCACAAAGTTAAATTTCAGGTGGAATCAAATTAAACTCAATCTTAGAGAAATTCGATGCTTCATCACAATTTTGTAGTCAACTCCTCCAAGAAAAAGTGCCGAAGCCTCGAACTCCCAGAAGATGAGGCAAAGACAGAATTGAAAAAATAAGTATCATATTTTGTCATTTATAAAGTATCAATTTTTCATCAAGTATGGGGAAAAAACTTTTTAAAAATAGTTTGAGTTATGACCAAACATTTTGAGAGGCTTCGAATTGCGGTGATAATGAGACACCTTTTATGAACGGAGAAAATTAATTGCTTTTAATTTTCAACATTTCATAGATTAGTCATCACAAAGTGAGGTGATATTTGATATCAAAAATAGTAGCGCCATAGTCTTAAATTATTTATTTGATGTGTTAAACGAAATAAAGTATTCAACAATTCATTCCGTCCTCAATTCATTTTGAACAGGTAACTAATTGCCAGTTTTCGATATTTAATGGATGAATAAGAGAGGTCGAGTACGAAGTTTATCTTAGATATGTTGATAGGATTCTCTGCGTGGAAAATTTTTTTTTAGATTAACAAAATCCTCCTGTGTTGGCTCGTTGGGAGATTTTTGTGCAAGGTGAGGACTTCTTAGTGCATACTCTATAACTTGCTGGTGTGGAAGTGTCGTGATCACCTGCACCTTTTCGTATTTCTTCTGAACTTGAAATTTATGTCTACGAATCCTCGGGCCTCTTAATCTGTCTCGCAGTTCCAAATTATCTTGGCCCTCTGAGACATGACTCCAAACATTTCGGTCAAACTCAAGCAAAATTGTCTGCAAAATGTTCCAAGAAAAGTATGATGAACTTGTCGAGTTCGAATCTGGTTGCTCAGATTCAACTAAATCATCGCGTTCGTCCAACAAATCTGGGCATATAATAAAAACTCTGCAATAAACTGTAGCTCTGGACACAGCAGTGTACAATTCACGCAGGACCTCAATGAACATTTCATCAGGTAATTTTTGTCGCTCCCAAGGAATAGGCCCTTTATCACGTAACCCAAAAACAATCCGCGCTTTATCACGTAACCCAAAAACAATCGCGACCGAAGAGAACTCAGTTGATGCAATATCCCATGTTGGCGAAAAATTATAACGCTTCAACAAATCGCGAAAGAAAGTATCAGTCAAATTGGCAGATATCCAACGCGTTCTGATACCTTTTATTTTGTTCTTTTCTTCTTCTTGTTCTACTAATTTTTCCAGCCAAGTTGAAAAGGTTATTGGTTTACCTATTGCCTCCAAAATTTGATAGTCAAACTCTTTCTTTTTGTGGAAAGTGATAACATCTATGGTTACACGTGGACCATGAATGAAATGTCCTCTCTCCTGAGGGTCATATTCGTCTTCTGAATATTCTTTCAGAATACCAAGAATTGATTGAAGAGTGTCTGAGACATCTGCTGTGTTGCGAAAATTCCTTTGTAAAGCTCTGCAATTGTCGGAAAATAACCAGCGCTGATTATCATCATCATCAGAATCTATTTGTGTGGCATTAAACACGGCATGCTTTCTGGGCCAGCGCGATTCGGCATAGCCAAATTCTTTGCTTAAAAATTTATAATCCGTGTCCCGTAAATCGTCAAAAAAATATTCGACATTACTTGATGAATAGCTATCAAGAATCTATTTGATTGGATACAGTGAGACAGAGAAGAATTTTTCCTGAACTCTGATTGAAATCTATTCAATTTTTCTTCAAAAATAAATCTTCAAAAATAATCTTAAGGTTAATCTTCGATTTAAAAAAATTGCACATCAACGCACACAAAAAAGCAGGCTCAAAACAAGAAAAACAACAAGCAATTAGAAAAATATTAAATTTAAAAACGTTAAAATAGAAGAATCCAGCAAAAGCAGGTACTTTCTTTTAGACAAAAAAGTATTGAGAAAGTTTTATTGACAAGCACGACTTGTTAACTTATCAGCTTTTAACAGAAAAACCGCTGTTAGAAATAAATTAACCGAAAATTCGGAGAATATCTCAAAATGAAAGTATGGTGTAGCTAGATCATCAGTATCAATGATTCTAGTTCGATTACAGATTTGTTGACGCTAGTTGATCTAATTTTCCTCGGATGCACTATCATATATCGATCATCTCGGATCTAGCATTATAGCGTAGCGCATGGAATTTTCCTGAGACAGTGTCAATGCAAAAATCTATCTGATTAGCAGCTGAAATATTCCACATGCTGCTAATCTATCGGCCATTGTCAGCAGCTGTATTTAGAAAACAAGTTCTCGATGAGGTTTTACAATAAGCGATTTGCTCAACGAAGCAAAGCTGATTTTTTTCAAATTTTAGGGAACTACAAGCTTTAAGGACTCAATTGCTCAGCCCATTGTAATGTGAGTTCTATGACAGTCGAATCTTTAGTCAAGGTAAATTTGAACACGACAGATCTTCAATCAGCTTTTCTCACTATCAAAACCTGATATTTATTTAGACAGAATGGAAAAAATCTAGCTTTTTTAGATATACTAAACAGAAACGTGACTATAACATATCATGGTAAACACAAATAAGATATTTGAAAAATCGCGAAAGATCATTTTTTACGTGGGGGTGGTAACGAAGAAAAATACTTCAGTGCGCATGATATTGATATAAGACGATGCGGCAAATTTTTCCATCATCAAAAAAAACTGTGTCAGGAACAACCTAAATTTATATAAATCAAAGTAAAGAAAAAACAACCAAAGTGTAAATTGGGAATGAAGAAGATCTAAATTGTTTTCTGACCAATAAATGCGATTGTTTTTTTTTGCAAGGATCATCCGATCATCAAAAAACTAAATTGAGATGATATATAAAAAAACGCCTCCGACTAGCGTTAGTGAGAAAAAAGCAGACCAATATCATTCGAAGTTAACGTTTGACTTAGACAACAAGCCAACCCAATTAAAAGAGTACCACTAATCACACTATATTTTAGATAAAAACAAAGCGTAGTCTCTTTTAGAAACCAGAAAGACGAAGATGATGTCGGAATTTTTCGGTAACTGACGAAATAGCAACACGCAAACAACAACACGAACAAGTTTCAAAAGAAAAGTTTGCTAAGCCCCTGCCATCCAAACCTATAGATGTTCTAAAAAAAATAAATTTTCTCAAGTTTGGAACAAACTCAACGGGGAAGCAAAACCAATGGATCTGAGCTCAGAAGTAATCCAGAAGAAACTAAAAACTGAACCAATTTTTTAAAAATTAAAACATATTCTCCAAGAAAAATTGAAACATATTCTCAAAGAAAACAATGAAGATGCGTGCGAGAAAAATTTCACCATAGACAATCTAAAGCCGCATCATCATTTATGGCTGGTTTCAAAACTTTGCAGTGATAGGACAAGATTTATAACTCGGAAAAAAAAGAGAATTAGAAACATTTGTGACAATGTCACCAAGTTTGGTCAAAAAAGATAAATGAAAAACACTACTCATAGCAGGATGTCTTGACTGTCAAAAAGTTTTCAAAAAACGTCACGATCCAGCGAAGCATCAGGACAAAATTCGGCAAACCTTAATCTTTCCCATTCCAATAATACACATTAACCATATTGGACCCATGAATCCATCATCAAACGGAAAGAAACACTACTAAGTAAATGTATAATACTTTACATTGAAATTACAAGTACTTCCAGTAACTTGATACAATAACAACCAACAACACGGCCTTTATTTTTTTGATGTCCTAAACTTTGAAGTTCAAGAAAGTCCGATACTAGCGTTCAATTAACCCACAGAAACTACTTAGTCGAAAACTTCCGTATTGATGACAACGCAATCAAGTAAGATAATGATTATATTTAAGCAATAACCATTAAAAAATTATGAGAAACTTATGCGAACAAAAAAGCGAACATAAGCGGACCGTTAAAACTGACTCGTTCTACAAACATACATTGTTTCCCGAAAAAAAATCTTGATATACATTTTCCAAATAATCTCGTAAATCAAATAATTTCGAAAATATATTGGTAAAAATGGAAGTTCTCACAACGAAAAAACGAAAAATTGTTACTGCTAACTTTTAGCCACCCACAACGACACATCAGGAACGCATTTGTTCTTGTCTGTACTTTATTGTGTCTCCGTATGAATCTCGCTAAAGTTCACCCATTACGACTGTTAAGCAATACAAAAGAACAGAAAACATGCGGTCAATCAAGTAGTACCTTGAAAAGATAGCACAGAAAGCATTTACACATCAGATAGTACCATAGTCGTTTTCCAACAGTCCTAAGGAGCCTATGTGAATGCCTATATGAACATTTTGCTTAATTATTTCCGATTTGTTGCAACTGGGGAATATGCAAACATTCTTTCATCAATCACAATATGGATATGGTTACCAATGAACTTTTTATACCCCCGAGTTTTGGGAAAAAGCTGCAAAACAACAAATTAACGAAGATAGCTACACTCCCGAAATAATTATAGAATTGGATGGACGAACTCTTCATCACAGAATTGAAGGAAGGTCACTATAGCGACAATCCGATTTCATATAAGAATCGGTGACAAATAAACACTACTCCTATGAACCATGTGAGGTGAAATTTTCGTTATTAATTGATCCCGAACACAAGCAAGGAAAAACTTCTATGCTATCTCATACCCATGCATAACACTCTAAGTTGGAGGCGGAACGAACTTATAAAGCACCTATGCTTAGACATCGAGCGTGCCTAAAAAATTGTATCGACTTAATAAACTTTTGAAAAAAATGGAAAATGATCAGTATTGCTAATAAACTGGGCCACCCTCAAAATCATATCGAGTGAGTGCGGTCGGATTGAAGCATACTCGGGTGTCGAATGATTGCTATTGGATGTATTTAGGTGTCGAGTGAGTGCGATTAAGTAGGAATTTATCTGATAAAAAATAAGCTTCAATCACACTGGGACTGGATTGGCGGCCTATATACAAAATCAGAGGCCTTAATACAAGATTGGAGGCTGACATACGGGATCGGAAGCGTGCAAAAAAGTATCCCAGTTTGCAGATAAAAGAGTTTGACACCTAATAATGTATCAAAAGGATGCAAACGGACTGAGGTCTATTCAGATGTCGAGTCAATACGATCGGTCTTAGGCCTAATCAGGTATCGAGTGAATGCGATTCAGTAAGAACTTGTGTGATAAGTTCCAGGTTTCAACTACACTGCATCGGATCGACGGCCTGCTTACAGGATTGAAGGCCTTGATACAGAATCGGGAACGTATATTTGGGATCAGAAGCCTACATACAGGCATCCCGAGTTACATTTCAGAGAACCTGCGAGTAATCCAGGTGTCAAGTGAGTGCAATTTGACTTGCGATTTGACTTATCAGATGCCAAGCCAGTGCAATTGGACTGATGCCTAGTCAAGTTATGAGTAAATGAGATTTAGGTGAGGTCTGTTTAGGTGTCGAGTGAATGTGGTTGGACCGAGGCCGCTTGAATTATTGGGTCAGTGCGACTTTAGAGTGAGTGCGCGTGGAGTGATGCCTATTCAAGTGTCATGTGAACTCGATTTGGCTGAAGTCTCTTCAAGTGCAGCTATTCAGACTGTCAAGCACCAGCCCAACAGCATATGTGCTGTTAGAGTGAGAGAATTAACCGCCGCGAATTTATTCCTATGCGACTCGACTGGCCAATGGACTGACAAACCGAAACCGTCAAATGTTGGTGCAATAAATTCGATGTTGATGTTTTACATTGCCTGACTGCGTTGATCAACATAATTTAGTAAACCTTTGTTTCTTGTGTCTTTTGCTTGAAATTAGAAAATTGTGGTCGTTTTGATCAAATCAAAAAACTCGTCATTAGACAATTTATACTAGATTTGCTCTCAATATTAAAAATGTTGAAGCAAATTTTCAGGGATTAAAAATTTTTCTATTTGAGATCAAGACAACACAGGTTTCAGATAAAAATTCTAAAACAGTGTATGAATCGAACCCACTGGTAGAAAAACTCAAAAACTCTCTGCAAAATTTGCTGTGTTTTTACATCAAGCGCAAGATCAATAGTCTGGTAATTTAACGTCGGTCAAACAAATTGATTTTCCAGAACTTAGTTTTTAACGTAGTTATATCAACACTTAACCTGCTTTTGTCTTTTTAAAAGTAATGCGATCAACTTTGCTCGTAAACTCATCGTGTTAGTTTTCGCCTGTATGTTTAGGGGTCAGGTGCGGTGATATTGCGTAGGATAAGTTGCAGTTTTTGTCGCAGATTTCCTGCCAGTGCTTGTTTTTGAGATTCAACCGATCAACTTGAAATTCAACCCATGTTGCTAAAAGATCACAAAATAAAATCATTAGGCGTTCTGTGTTGATCATAAGGGTCGATTCACTTTAAAACGCGCTTCGCATACGTCCTGCAACATTTCAAAAGCGCGTTAGGTAAATTTGCTTCACAAAAACCGCTTTAACTTAGATTTTCAACGTCAGAGTCTCACAGAAGACCATTCAATAATTTATGTATCAGTTTGACATACAGTTTGGCATGACATCGTAAGAAGTTCAACGAAAAAATTTAACACCAAGAAGAACCGTACGAAAAACTGACCAACTTACTAACTTGTAAATAGGATATTAGAAGAAAATTTGAACAATCGTTTTCACCGGAACGAAATTGAGAACATAGAGGAGCATTTATGTATATTGTATTTTCTTGTGCTTCACATGAATCAAGATTTTAACTCTAAGCGTACGGCGAAGGACCAGGTTCTTACCGAGAACTACATGAAGCATGAACTACATGAGGAGTTCCAGCTCTAAGCTTGGCGCCTCCCCACCTGTAAGAAGGAACTTTTTATCATAGTTGACCATACAAACTATGCTCAGGCCAGTGTTCTTGGGTTAACAGGTTGTTTTCTTTGTTAGTTTGATAGTTGTTGAAATTGAAAAGAAGAGTAGTGAGGATTGAACTACTTCTTCTTAGGTTCTGGTCTGGCTTCTCTTGAGACTTCTTTTAAAAAAAAAAATTTGACCAGCCGAAAAATTAAGTTAATGTTAAACAATGTTTTTGCACAATGAGTTTCGCTTCAATTCCTGAGTTTATGGAAGCCTCAGTCATGTCTTTTCTGGTAGACAAGGAACTTTTAGTGATCCTGGTTTGGATAAAGGTTGTCATTCAGTCTCTCCACATCTTGAACAGCGATCAAAATTGTCCCTGCAGGCTGCTGATCCATATGTTTCTGTACTATCTTGTCTGGATCCTCATGCAAGTGCCAGCTATCAACCACCATTCACTGGTCTTCGCGCTGGTTTCTTTGGCACCAAATGTGATTAACGCAAATGTGCAGGGCCAAATTTTTCGTTCTTCATTGTTTCGCAAGTTTACGGTAATTGTCGCACATCCTTAGCACAGGTCTTCTGGAGTTATCCGGCAATCTATCATTTGGTAACCTTGTAATTTCCTAACTACCGGGTGCTGAATCAATATCTTCCTAACTACCGGCTGCTATAAATGTGCCTATAGGAAAATAATTTACTGATTCAGCATTCGATATGACTTTGCAATCAGACCTACAGAATGCCAATAGACATGCTTTTTTTCACCAACCCTCTTAAACCTGCACTGAGCGAAATTGTGCCGCAAGCCAGTGTCAGTTCCGTATGTTAAGCTCACCAAGCAGATCATCAGCTTTAAAATGCCGCTAACCACTAGTTTTCTAACCCCGGTGTTGGTTCGTCGTATAAGATAGGGTAGAGACACCAATTTCCGATGGAGCTCAGAAAAATATGTTTCTGAGAATATTGTATTCAACAGCAATGCAATTGCTACCCTGCAATAGGAATATGACCAGACTCATACTATCCTTCAGGCTCAATTGACTATGTTAGATATTTTTCCTCATACTCAGCTGCGTAGCTCAGAGAATGTCATCGGTTTCCTGACTAGTTGCAGTCTTTGACTCTTTTAAGCCCAAGCTGTCGGAAAGCGTCCAAGCAATTTACAAGAAGTAGTGTGGTAGAGTGGAGAACAGTAGGTTCCTGATTCGAGTACCCAGCCCCATGAAACACGTAGTGACAAGGATATGTGGTACCATTCGACCGTTTTTCCGTTTTTTTTTCGCGCTAATTTGAATCAGACGTGCTTAAGTCTAACTGCTCTTTGAAGCTTGCTTTGAGTTGGTTTTTCTAAATTTTGAGTGATTGTGAGTTCCAGTGAGAATAAACCACAAAAATGAACAAATTTAGCTTGTTGAAGAAATTTAGCTTGTTCACTGCGAGATTGGAGTGGCCATAGCAAAACAAGCCAGCGCACCCGAGACCGAACAATCAATTTTTGAAGAAAACTACTCAATGAAAAAAAATGGGCCTAAGTCCATTATCTAAGCTATCAATCAATTACGTTGTGTTACGATGTGTATGTTTTTTCTCTACCCTGTAGTCATATATCATCATAACTATTCGAGTGTTCGACCCACTTATGAACTCGTGCATTGAAACGCAGAAGTTAATGCCAGTTAAGTTTGAATTTCGAGCATAGCACTTTCGACTGGTGTATCTTAGTCATCCGAAATCGCTCTTTTCAAATTCTTAAGGACAAAGAAAGAAGTTCAAAAAGATTCCGATACTAGCGTTCATTTAGCCCACAGAAACTACTTAGTCGAAAACTTCTGTATAGATGACAACGCAATCAAGTAAGATAATGATTATATTCAAACAAAAACCATTAAAAAAATTTATGAAAAACTTATGCGAACAAGAAAAACGAACATCAGCGGACAGTTAAAACTGAATCGTTCTAAAATCATTCATTGTTTCCAAAAAAGTGGATAGACATTTCAGAATTATTCTCGTAAATCATATAATTTCGAAATATATTGGTATTATTTGAAAATCTCAAAAAAAATAGTAACTTTTAGCAACCCACAACGACACATCAGGAAAGCATTTGTTTTTGTCTGTAGGTTATTTTCTTTTAGTATGAGTCTCCCTAAAGTTTACCTATTACCACTGTTAAGCAATACAAAAGAACAAAAAACAAACGTCAATCAAGTAGTATCTTGAAAAAGTAGCAGAGAAAGCTTTTACACATCAGATAGTACCAAAGTCGTTTTCCAACAGTCTTTAGGAGCCTATGTGAATGCCTATATGAACATATTGCTTAATTATTTCCGATTTGCTGCAACTGGGGAATATGCAAACATTCTTTCATCAATCACAATATGGATATGGTTACCAATGAACTTTTTATACCCACGAGTTTTGGGAAAAAACTGCAAAAACAACAAATGAATGAAGACAGCTACACTCGCGAATTCATTATAGAAATTGATGGAAGAACTCTACATCACAAAGTTGAAGGAAGTTCACTATAGGAACAATCTGAATTCATATTAGACTCGGTGACAAAATCAACACTACCCCTAACCATAAGAGGAAAAAGTTAATTGAACGCGAAAAAAAAACAAATAAAATTTTCTATGCTATCTCACAGCACTCGACGGTAAAAGCGAAACGAACTTATAAAGCTATGCTTATACATCGAGCGTGCCCGAAAAATGTATTGTCGTAATAAACTTTTGAAAAATGGAAAATGATTAGTATTTCTAATAAACTAACTGGGTCACCCTCAAAATCATATCGAGTGAGTGCGGTCGGATTGAGGCCTACTTGGGTGCCGAATGATTACAATTGGGTGGCGTTGTATTTAAGTGTCGAGTGAGAGCGATTCAGTAGGAATGTATCTGACAAAAGTAAGCTTCAATCACAGTGGGATTTGATTGGCCGCCTAAATACATAATCAGAGGCCTTAATACAAGATTGGAGGCTTACATACGGGATTGGAAGCGTGCAAAAATGTATCCCAGTTTGCAGATAAGAGAGTTTGAGACCTAATCAGGTCTCAAGTGGATGCAAACAGACTGAGGTCTATTCAGATGTCGAGTCAGTACGATCGGTTTTAGGCCTAAATCAGGTTTTGAGTCAGTGCCATCGGACTGAGGTCTAAGCAAGAAGCAAGTGAGTGCGAAACAGTGGGAATTTTTGTGATAATTTCCAGGTTTCCATTACACTGTTATCGGATTGACGGTTTATTTACAGGATCGAAGGCCTTCATACAGAATTGGGCGCGTATAAACTGTATCAGAAGCCTACATACAGGCATCACGAGTTACAGTCAGAGAATCTGTGAGTAATCCAGTTGTCAAATATGTTTCTTTACTACCTTGTCTAGATCCTCAAGCATCCTCTATCTTGTCTAGCAAGCACTAGCTATCAACCACCATCCACTGGTCTTCGCGCTGGTTTCCTTGGCACCAAATGTCATTAACGCAAATGTGCATGGCCAGTTTTTTTTAATTCTTCATTGCTACGCAAGCTTACGTTAATTTTCGCACATCCTTAGCGCAGGTCTTCTTTGACTATGTTAGTTTTTTTCCTCAAATTTAGCTGCATAGTTAAGAGAAGGTCATCGGTTTCTCTCCGGCTGTTTTTTATTTAGTTGCAGTCAATGACTCTTCTAAGTCCAAGCTGTCAGAAAGCATCCAAGCAACTTGCAAAAAGTAGTGTGGTAGAGTGGCTTACAGTAGGTTCCTGATTCGAGTACCGAACACCATTTTACACGTAGTCACAAGGGTATGTGGTACCATTCGACCGTTTTTCCGGTTTTTTTTTCGCGCTAATTTGAATCAGACTTGCTTAACAAAAACTGCTCTCTGAAGCTTGCTTTGAGTTGGTTTTTCTAAATTTTGAGTGGTTGTGAGTTCCAGTGAAAATATACCACAAAAAGAACCAAACTTAAATTGTTGAAGAAATAGTTTTCTGCTCATATTTTTACCGCGAGATTGGAGTGGCCATAGCAAAAAAAAGCCCGCGTACCCAAGACCGAACAATCGATTTTTGAAGAAAAATACTCGATGAAAAAAATATGGGCATAAGTCCATTATTTAAGCTATCAATCTAATACATTGTGTTAGGATGTGTATGTTTTTTCTCTGCCTTGTAGTTCTCGGAGTGATTAAACATCATAAATATTCGAGCCCCTTCTGAGGCCCTTTTGAAATCGTGCAAATTTAGAAATCGAGATTTCGAGCCCCTTTTGAAATGGGGCATAGAAACGTAGACGTTAATGCCAGTTAATTTTTGAAATTTGATCATAGCTATTTCGACTGGTGTAGCGTAGATATCCGAACGATCTCTTCTCAAAGTCTTATGGACATAAAAAGCTTCATTTTTTTTGTCTTTGTCTTCTAGAATGAATCTAAACAGTTTCGCCAAAAGAACAATCGTTTTTCCCGTTCCAGCAGCCCCCTTCAGTGGAAAAAATGTTTGGTTGATGCCGTTATCTTGAAAGGCTTCCAATTGATCGCGGTGCAAGTAATCCAAATGCCATATATCATAAAATATGTTGATTTTGAACTCAGGATCATCTGGTTTCGGAAACTCAAAAATGAAAGCAGGTTCGTTTTTCGTCTCTATTATGTCCTTATTGCTCATGTCTTCTTTCTGTTTTGGGTTGGTTCTCTCAAATGTGATTCGACCCTCTTTCAGTTGCTTGTCAATTTTAGCTATCCAACTGCCCAGTTCAAATTTAGCTCCTCCTGGAAGTTTTCGCTCTAATGGTCCCATGTCCCAAATGGCTATCAAAATTTCGTGGAGCATCTCTATTTCTGTTGTGGTGGGCATTAACATTGCTTTTTTAATTTTTTGTTGTAACCTTCTTGGTAAATATTGTTGAATATTGAACAATAAAGATCGCCTTTTGAATTGTTGCAGTATCCAGCTTGTCTCAGTTAATTCGGGACATGCAGTTTTTGTTTGCCACCATTTTGTGAAATCCAAGTTATCTCCGCATATTAGCGTAACGTGATCGGATTTCAAATGTGCTTGCTTTGCTTCTTGGACTTCATCCAACTTTTCATCCTCATCTGACACGTTTATCAAAGCAAAATGGTTCGATCCTTGTTCAATGAAGTATTCTTTCGTAATTTCAGTTTTCATACTATAAGCGACTGTTCCAACTTTTCGAATAAAAGCGTCAGTTTTGTGGTTTGGGAATGCAACGAAGCGAAAAACGTTAGGAGTGAAATTTGGGTTAATTGTAGTAGCCACATTTTCAATTAGTTTTTTTGCGACTTGAGATTGTTTTACGGCTTTCTTCAAATTATCACCTAAGTTGTCTTCATTTGTAGGAGTTTTAACTTCAATCACTGCTATGAAGGTCTCTCCGAGGATAATGAAGTCGTGTTCTTTCTCGTTTTCTCTTTCATCGTTTAAACTGTATTTAGTATGGAGGTGCTTTTTAAACTCAAATTAATATAACTATCGCTGCTGTGCTTTCTGTTCGAGACAAAAATTATTTTTAATTCATTGGATCCAAGTAAAGGGTGGTTATTTTGTACCAAAATATAGACAACATGCTTAAAGTCTATTATTAGTCAAATTTTTGGGTCTATAGGATTGCTTCGATAATTAGATATTTTGTTCAAACTAATTTTGAAATAAACCAATTTCTGTTCTACAACATAGTTGGTCTTTTTCTTTTAAAACCTATGAATTTCAAAATTGTTCAATGACGATAAATTTTATGAAGTTTTTTTTACCTTAACCCGAATTGACACAAGGTTAACTGGCTCTTTTTCCTTTTCCCCCCCACCTCACTCAAACATGAATTTTATGGTCTAACGAGTGGTTTTACAAGGTTATTTATGAAGACCAAATATGTTTGCCATGGCCTAATTAGTCTGCATGTCAATTTTCATGACAATCGAACAAAGTTGACACTAACTTCAAATATAAAAATTTGCAGGTGGGGGGGAAAAGGAAAAAGAGCCGGTTAACTGAATGCAATGCGAGTTGCCTTCAGTTTTCAACCACAGTTTTCTTTATAAAAATCTGGAAATTAGTTTTTTGACACTAGGGTGTTTTGTTCAGTGTTGAGGATCAAGCACTGAGGGCGAGAGAAGGTTACACATCAGCTTTGCCGAAATTTCTGCAGTTTTTTTTATCTAATTTGAATAAGAAAAATAAAAAGAGACACATTTCTGTTTTTCAAATTTTTTGCACTATTTTATCTTTCTTGCAAGCCCTTTTTTGAAAATGCATTTTAGTAAACAAGTTTTAAACAATTTTGGCAAAACAAATTTTTTCTACTCAAAAAAAGAATTTTGGAAAACAATTAAGAAAATAAAAATCTGGCTCCACTTCGCTGAGACTAAAGAAAAGGTATAAAGTATGTGGAGTATTAAAATATTGAAAAGAATTAAGATAGTCAAGAAATTTCATGTTTTTGGCGAAAAAGAGTTGCTCGTTCTCTAATTGGTAAATGCTTGTTGTATATTACGTGAAGGTTGTAAAAAAAGTAGTATGTTTGTTGGTTTCATGCTAAGACAATGATAAATGTTGTTTTGACATTTGAAGAGCGAAATTTTTTTTCAGGTTTCCCTAAAAGTTTTAATACTGGCGTATTTTTTTACAAACATTATAAAATTCAGTGATTTGAGAATAAGATTTAGTATATGTCAGGTTTAGTATCTGTCATTATTTGTCAGAAAATTTTCTGCATTACTTTTTTAATCTAATTTGAGGTTTTTCTTTCAAAAAATGTCAAATTATTCGGCAACATTGATTGAATTTTTGTTTTTAACCGGAGTTTTGGAAAATTTCCACAAGGATTTAATTGGTAAAGTTTACTCTGGAACTCCCTAGAAGTTTCTTCAGTTAACACAAAAGAAGCAAACCGGGAAGTGTTTTTTTTCTGAAGTTTCAATTCTTTGGCTAAATTTCTGATTCGCTCAATTTTTTCATCATGACCATCATTTTTGTTTTAAAATGGCGCGCGCAACATTGGAAGAATTTCAAGGCAATTTATAAAATTTTAAGTGAAGTTTAATTGAAAACTTGTGAAAATGCACTCTTACTTAACTTTGACCTCCTCCTTTATTTTTGTCTACGAGAGCTGCTGCTTGAGCGTGCGTGAGCAAAAAGTTTACAATATCGGAAATCATTTGAAAAAAATTTTTTATCAATATTTGAGTCAAAGTTACAAATTTCGAATAAATGATGTTGACTGTCTACAGCTAGTCTTAACAAAAACTTTTCAGCCAATGGCAAGGGTTGCTTGAATAAAACAGTTTTTGAACAAGCTAACATTTTCAGAATCCAAAAAACATAAGTTCAAAGCAACAATTTAAACTGAAACTTGATTGACATGAAACTTAGCAGCTTGCTATGAAACAATTTTTGGAGCGATATGCTTATAAATTACATGTTTTTGGATTTGACAGTGGTAGATATTAGTTGAAATCAAGTAACTTCTAATTTCTCAACTGATTCATGATGAAGAGGAGGAAACATTGGTTAACAACTTGCAAAAATTTCTTTCTTTCAAGTTTGGAGACGTGCAAGATCTCGATAACCTATAATTTCTAGAAAGAGCTACAACATTGGATTCTTTTTTCAAGGTCTGAAAAAATTACAAAAAAAGAAGACTCTTTCCCTCTAAATAATTTAAGAGCAAGGCGGCCTTTGTTATCCGCAAAGGGCACGGTATAATTTTTTTCTTGTTGAGAAATTACAACCCCCTAGATAAAACGTATAAGAATATCAGAAACTGCGAACGAACAACATTGATTATCACGAAAGATTGAAAAGGCTTCAAATCAAAATTGTGCCTTCAATTGGTTGGGATGACTACAAGAAGACTTGTAAGCTTGTAAAACAGACAGCTATCATGTTTTATCGCAAAAAAATTGCTACATGTAAAATTTGATATAAGTTTCCGATTCCGGCCTTTATATGTCAGCACAAATCCTTAAATAAGAATTTTTTTTCGCAGACGAAAACGATTTTTGGAAACTTTATGCAAGTTGTATCTGTAGTACTTTCCATTCTATTCAAAAACACTGTGCTTTATGAGAACTTCCTTGAAAACTCCAGAATTATCTACAAAAAAATTGTTGGAAATGATGCTAACCAACTTTACTAGTTCTCAAAGTCGAGATGAGCCAATATGACTGTAATCGATTTGGAGTTTGATACAAATATACTTACGGTCAAAGCAGGACATAATCGACCTCAGAGCTTTGAGATTATGATCTTGTTGATTTAGCAGGAAAAAACAAGAAGTAAATATTGACAGTTTGAGTCAATCTGGAAATCACGCAAAAATTAACTTAGTAATGTGGACAGTTACCTGAAGCTTTGGAATACTGTCACTATTTTTGTCCTTTCAGAGCAGCCCATTTTATGAGAAAAAGAAGATAAGAAAGACGAATGATAACAGACGTGAAATCTTTTGAAAAATAGCTTATAAGCCAAAATCAGAGAGACAACAAGTCAAATAAATTCAACTGTAGCTGCATAGGACTGAATGAAAAGGTCTTATCGATTCTGAAGGAGAACCTTCTATGGCAAAGCATCAAAAATTTTTTGATAAAAAAACCTACCTAACATTAACCAACAGAGGCTTTACCACCGTAATTCATATGCTTGCTTTAAATGAGCAGACTTACAGGCGAGCTCACAAAAAAATGTATTTAGCCCAAAGCGTCAAATTCAAGTTGATACAAGTCCGTAAAAAGTATGTTGAGATTGCAAGAAATTGTCCTAACCAGAAAACAAAGTGATGCATTAATATTTTTTATTATTGTAAAAAATTGCAGTGAATTTTTGCGATGATGTGGCTTAATTTTTTTCTTAAATAAAGCATATCAATTTAATTTCAGCAAAAACCTAAAATTTGAACAGGACGACAAAAAATAATTTTATTGCCATTTTTCTCACCATGGTACACACACCAAACCCTAACTAACTCTACAAATTTCGGACTCTGTACACTATCATATTACAAAGCAAGGTAGAAACGGAAAACTATATTTAATTTAATTACATACGGTCACTAAGCCTCCCCACACCCACATCTACTTCTCCCAATAATGCAAAACCCACAAAAAAATTTTAACATTGATTTGTCAAGTCACCAAAGTGAATCGAACTGTCTAATCATTCTACAAGCCACACGTTTCGTACCATAGAGCCTTGCCATTTAGATAATGCACATCCAATAATTTTAGTAGAAGCGTGAAATTTGGACAGGACGAAAAAAAAACATTATTTCCAATTTTCTCACCATGGTACATACACCAAAACCTAAATAATTCTAAAAATGTCAGACTCTATGTCCTGTCCTATTATAAAAGCAAGGCGGAACCGGAAAACTAAAATTTTTTAACACAAAGGGTCGCCAAGACTCCCCATCCCAATATCTACTTCTCTTAATAGTGCATAAGGCACAAAAAATTTTAAACATTGTTTTGTCAAAAACCAAAAAGCATCAGCTTACCTAATAATTCTACAAGCCACACATTCTACCATAGAAACTTGCCATTTAGACAACGCACATTCAATAATTTTAGCAAAAGCGTGAAACTCGGGCAGGACGAAAAAAAAAGAATTTTGTTGCCAATTTTCCCACCACGATACATACACAAAACGCTAACCAATTCTATAAATGTCAGATTGTATACCCTCTTCCATTACAAGGAAAGGCCAACCCAGAAAACTTTCATTTATTTTAACACACAGGGCGCTGAGCCTCCCCACCCCAACATCTACTGCTCCTAATAATGAATAACCGACAAAAAACTTTAAACATTGTTTTATCAAGTAACCAAAAAGAATCAACTTATCTAATCATTCTACACGACACGCATTATATCATAGAACCTTGCCATTTAGATGAGGCACATCCAATAATTTTAGTAAAATTGTGAAATTTGGACACGACGACAAAAAGAATTTTATTGCAATTTTCTCACCATGGTACACATACCAAACCCTAAACAATTCTATAAAGGTCAGACTCTATGCCCTATCCTATTATAAAGCAAGGCGGACACGGATAACTTTGATTTATTTTAACACACAGGGCGCTAAGCCTCCCCTGCGCAACATTTACTTCTCTTAATAGTGCACAACGCAAAAAAAAAATTAAACATTGTTTTATCAACTAAACAAAAAGCAGCAAACTATCTGATAACTCAACAAATCACATGTTTCGTACCCAAAAAGCTTGCTATTGAGATAACGCAATAATTCCGAAATCCTATAATTTTTGCTCAAATCCAATACTTTTAGCAAAAACGTGAAATTTGGACACGACGACAAAAAAGAGTTATATTGCTATTTTTCTCACCATGGTACATACATCAAACACTAAACAATTCTATGAAGTTCAGACTCTAAGCTCTTTCTTATTACCAAGCAAGGCGGACCCTG